CAGTGCCAGGGCCAGCCCGGTCGTTCACTGAGGCTAAGGTGCTGATATTGTTGCAGGGTCACGACCTCGCGATAGTGAAGGTGCGGGGCGGGGCGGGGCGGGGGCGCGGGCGGGCTGGAGTGGTTGTGTGATGTCTTGGTTGAGGTGCGGCGGATGCGCTTTTGGGGGGCTCGACGGCTCGCGCCGAGCATCCCCGGGCGTGCCGCGCACCCGTGAGGTTGCTCAGGGGTCTCTCTCCGAGCTGTGCCAAGCTGTGCCGCGGCTGGACTGCTTCCGAACCTCGGGCGCCCGCTCCAGCCGACCTCCTGTGCCTTCTGCGCGCTGCTACGATGGGGCTATTGGCCCCGGGGGAAGTGGCCCGCGACCGTGCCTGAGCCGACCCGACTTGGGGTGAGCGGTGGACCGCCCCCCAGCTGCTCACCAGGTTTGGTCTGAACCTGGCGCATGTGCCAGGGCAGCCTCCGTCCGATTGCTCGGACTAGGCCAGTTTTTGTTGTTGGGGGTGTCCGGCATCGACAGGCGCGTCCAATGGGAATAATACTTGGAGGGGCGACCGTGTATTGCTGATGCCCCGGGGGGTTAGGCGTGCTCTGTCGGTTCAAGTGGAGCACGTGGGCTCTCCCATCCTTGGAAGCAGTGATCTTCCTAAGGTTGGGTGGACAAACCTCACGATGGAGGAGGAACGGGGACGAAGGGTCGGGGCGGGGAGGAGAAACGGAAGAGGGGGGAGAGGGAGGAGATCGCAACAAGTGGGACGGCGGGCCCGGGCCCCGGGGCCGCACGTGCCTGGCGAAAGTGGGCGGCGCCGCGCGCGGGCGGGGCAGGGGCGGCGGGGCGACTGCCCCCCTGGTGCGGATCAGAGGGGCTCCCGTCTGGAAACGAGGGCGGGCGGCGGTGATCAGACCTTTCGGGGGCCCGTCTGGCATTCGCGCCTCGGCGCCCAGGGCAGAGCGGCGCCGCCGTGGGGCAGCCCCCGCAGCGGCCCAGGAGGAGCAGACGACAAAGCGGGCGCCAGCAATTCACGAGGCCCGACGAGAGGGGCTAGCACTGATGCGCCGCCTTTTGAGCGCCAGGGAAGGCTTGGAGGTTGCCGTGGACCCCCATGGCCGCACCAGGCCGGAAAATCGATGGCAGGCCGCTCCACGCCTCTTGCGCACGGTGGAAACCTGGCGATCAGCGGCGCTGGTTGTGCCTGGATCTGGTGGGGAGAGGTCGCCGGCCCCTTGGTTGGCTGGTGGGGCGTTAGTATGCTGGCGGCGAGAGTTGTCTGGCAGCCCCCTCGTTGCCGGCCGCCAGCCGCAGTGAGGTGCTGCGTGATGAAAGCTTGTCTGCGGTCCGTGCGTTGCGCGATGCCGCTGGCGCGGCGGCCGTCGCCCCCGGCCTCTCGACCGGCCGACTGGGTGGGGGAAGGCGTTGAGCCGAGAGTGGTGGGTTGCCGTCGCGCTGTGCCGTCTCGCCCAGGTGGCCTTCGGCGGCATCGGTTTTTTCCGAGGGGGTGGCGCTGTGAAAGGAATTCGGGGTCGTCGCTGGCTTTCGTCGAGGGAGGTCCCGAGCCCTAATCAGCAGGTCGAAGTCATCAGCTTCGAAGTCGTCCGCGGTGGGGGGGCGTGTAGGGTTCATCCAGTTCGTCGAAGAGGTCGGGGCCTGGTGGCCTGGCCATCGGAGGTGGTCCTCCTTGTGCGTCTGTGCCCCGCCCTCCCTGTCTGGCGGTGCGCGCGCTGGGTTCCGTTTTCTTGGAGAGCTCAGACCTGGCGCGCTCTGCTCTCCCGCGGGGCAGCGGGGGCGCGCGGCGTCGCTGGTCGTGCATGGCGAGACGGCCGCGCTGTGGAGTGCCGCGGTAGATTTCTGGCGCCGTCCCACATCGTCGACCGCGTTTGCGCGATACTTCAAAGCCTCGCCGCAGCGACAGCGAGTTCGTCGACGTAGCGCCCGATACCTTCAGCGATGGGCGTGATGCGGCCTTTGTTGAGGCCCTGCTCCCCATGGCGACTTTCGGCCCTCTGGGATTCGAACAGGTCCTGTTTCGCAAGAAGCACCCGATGTGGATTTTCTGCGAAGGGTCCGGCTGCCGTTGGGATCTGGCAGCATACGTTTCGGGTTTACCACCAGATCGTTGGGTGCAGAGAGCCTTGCATTGGACGCCGTCGGGATCACGCTCACAGGGTCGTCCTCTTCTGTCATGGGACGCGAAGCTATCCTCGTTCTGCCGGGCGAACCACATCGGACCGTGGCAAGAAGCTGCACAATATTACTCAGCATGGGTGGATATGACAGAAGATTTCCTGAACTTCTGCACGTCGACGTGAGCAGGCGCGATGCTTCCTTTGCGCACCAGGCCTGAATAGTGACTGGCATTTGATATTTTTCCCTCGCGCCCTATATGGGCCCGCCCTCGTGCGAGCGGGGTGGCTTGACTTGACTTGGGTCCGGCTGCCGCCCCGCGCGCTGCGGTGGTTTGCCCTTGTGGAGGTGTGCGAAACCGTCGACGACCGCTCGGTTGTCAACGAAGACGTGGAGCGGTCGTTCCGTCGTTTCGACGTGGTGTAGCATGGCGAGGCGTTCCGTCCGTTGCGCGGGATGTGCCAGGCAGTGCAAACGGGGGCCGAGTGGTTCAGCCAGTACTCACGACCGTCACACACGCCAAAGCCCGCCCTGCCCAGGAGTGGGCGGGCCTGTTTGGAGCAGGCCCCGTCGGTCGCGGCGTAGGCCCGTCGGGTGCCGTGGTCGTCGGTGCACTCTTGGCAGGCATCATCGTCCGCGCCGTCCTGGGGCGGTCTCGGGATGGGCTGTGGGAGCTCGCCCTCCGCCAGAGCTACCTGGAGGTCGAGCAGGGTGGGGGCTTCCTCTCAGAGGCCGCAGTGGCTGGTCTGTGGCGGGAGATCATGCCAGTGTTGATCGGTGATCGTGGCCTCGAGGGCGGTCTTTTGGGTCGCCCAGAAAAGACCTCTCCCGACAGTGTGATCCTGGGCTTCTTCTTCTTCTTCTTCTTCTTCTTTTTCTTCTTCTTCTTGGTCGCGCCATCTGCGCAGGGGGGAGTCCGCCGAGATGCCGGCCCGGACTTTCCTCTGCTGGGTGTGCCCACCCCCGCAGAGGTGGTTCCAGAGGAGGCAGATTTGCCATGCTGTGCATGTGGCATTGCCAGTGGTCCTGAGGATCCAGGTGAAGGACGAATGGTCGAGGCCCTGCTTGATTGCGGCAGCGGCTCCAAGATCGTGCCTGGTGGTTGTGATGCGTCGGGGGAATGGCGCCAGGGGGAAGCTCTCCGCTGCGTAGCCCAGAGCACGTGCGCGAAGAGACCAGCTGGCAGCTGGAGCCGGGAGAGGCGGGTGCCCCCATCGTCGCACATGGTGGCACATTCGGGCCATGACCATTCGAGTTGGGCATCGGTTTGCCAAACTCTGCTGACAACAGGTCCCCCCCGTTGGAATGTTTGCGCGTGGTTGTGGAGCGATTCGGCTCTCGCGTTGAGGCTGGTGTCTCTCCGCGCTTGCCTTCTCAGCCCAAGCGGCGCTCCCCCGTGGGTGACGGTGCCGAGCGTGGCTGGGGGGGCGCTAGGGCGTAGGGCGCCCAGTGTGAGATCCATGATCGCCCTTGGGGGCTTGGATACCCGTGCCTGTGGTGCGCATGTTAGCCACGTTGGAATGGACCGATCGAGCTCTCAGTTGGGTGCCTTCACGGAGACGCCCGATTCGTGGGAGGCGCTCGATGGTTTTTTTCGTTCCAGCGTCGGCAGCGGCTTCGAGATTGATGATTGGGCCCTCGCCATCTGGCGCCACGTTGATATAGCCCCGACCAGCTTTACCAGGTGGTGGGTTTTGAGTGCGAGGGGGAGGACGGCGACTTGGCGGTTAAGCTCGTCGCCTACGGTCCGTCCCCCGCCTTTGCCCGGGTGAGTGTTCTGACCCGGCAGTTTGTCAAACAGAACTGTTGGGTCAGGAGAGGCTTGCACTTCCACAGCCGGGGGGTGCTGCGGGGCTGCCGTCGTCGACGAGCGCCCTGCTTGGCGACCGTGGGATCTGCCTGCGCTGCCGCTTCGCCCAGTCATAGCATGAGAGGGCGCATGGGGGGCGCCAACAAGGCGCGCCGCAGGGGCCGGGCGGGGAGCGGGCGCCTATCCATGCGGATGCAGCGGCTGAGGTTACCGTAGACGTGGCGCCTCGCGCACGCGATGTCCTGTCGGAGGGAGGAGAAGCGACACCGACACCAACAGGGGGCCACCTCCAGCGAGGAGGTCCACGATGCCCCCCCGAGCCGGGGGCTGGGGATGTCTCGAGCGAGAGGGGGGGACCACACCACCAGGCAGACCCCCCTTGCTCCTCGCATCTTCTCGCCCTGGTGGTGTTGTTGTCGCCATTCGTTCTTCCTATCCTGGGGGCAGCTGGCACGAAGGGCCAGGCTGAGGCCGATAACTGGCGACCGGATGCCCCGGTCAAAGGTGTGGATGCGAACAGCAGGGCGTCCGGTTTCTAAGTGGTGGTTCCGCAGTGCTCGCAGTGCTCGCGGCGCTCTGCCACAGCATTCCAGCTCGGGTCCAAGCAGGTGACGTTGCTGCTGGCAAGGTGGGCCATCAGAGGGCTGGCTCCGTCCGCGGAGCTGGGGCATCCTGTGGTCTTGCGGTGGGCCTGGTTGGCAGGGCTAGGTCTAGAATGGCATCTGGAGCGCTCAACTTCGGCCGCTCGTTCCCTGGGTGGGGGTGACAATTGCGCCATGTGTGTCTGGGCACAAAACTTCCCCCGTTCAGGTATGAACGAAGGAGGAGGAGGAGGAGGAGGAGGAGGAGGAGGAGGAGGAGGAGGAGGAGGAGGAGGAGGAGGACAGGAGGAGGAGGAGGAGGAGGAGGAGAAGGAGGAGAGGAGGAGGAGGAGGAGGAGGAGGGAGGAGGAGGAGGGGGGAGGAGGAGAGGAGGAGGAGGAGGGAGGAGGAGGGGAGGAGGAGGAGGAGGAGGAGGAGGAGGAGGAGGAGGAGGAGGAGGAGGAGGAGGGAGAGGGACGACGTTGCGGCGGCGGCGGCCAACAACACGGCGGCAACGGCAGGTGACGTGACGCAGGGGTGAGGAGCCGCCGCCGTCATCGTCGCCGAGCGCGGGGCCGCCGCCGCTGTGCCCGTTGGCGGACGTGGCGGGCGCGGCAGATCCCGCGCTCGAGCCGGCCTTGCCCTTGGCCTGGCTCTCCTTCCTGTGCAGCCGGCCCCTTGAGTCTTCGAGGCCCTCGGCGCTCCGCACGTGGGGCGCGCTGCCCAGGTCGGGGCCGTGGTCGACCGCCTCGAAGTCGGACGTTTCCAGGCTGACCCGTGTTGGCCTGCTGCATGCGAGGTCCCTGTGGGCCTGGGGTTCGCCTGGGGCCCATGGGTCGGCGGCCCGGGGTCCTGGTGGATGATGGCCGTGAGTCGGGCCTGTCCCTCTGCAGGGGGAATATTCAAGAGAATGGTAGAAAAATTGTCAGGGGACTATTTTTGGAGTATTTTGCGACCATGTGGGAGTATTTTCTGAGTATCTTTTATTTTTCGTCGAAAATCCCCCTGTAGGGACACAGGCCCGACCTGAGTTTTTTGAGTATTTTTCATTCATTATTCGTCGAAATCTCCCTGTAGGGGGACAGGCCCGACATAAGGATGGCCGGGCGGACTGGCGGCGCCCCGCGTGGAGCGGTCGGCTCAGACGGCAGCGTGGCCAAGTGGTATCTCTGGCAGAGATTTAGGTCGGGCCTGCCCCCCTGCAGGAGGATTTTCTCGACGAAAAATAAAACATATTTCCAAAATGCCCCCAAATTGGCAAAAACAAATTCAAAAAATAGTCCCCTGACCATTTTTGGAATATTTTTTCTGGTATTGTTTACATTTTTCGTCGAAAACTAAAACATACCCCAAACATGCCCCAAAATGTTCCAATTATCTTGGCGAAGGACCCAACCATATGCTGTTGTGGGCACCGCAACTGTGAACATCTTCTTCGGTGAAACTCCCTATGGGGCCACGAGGCGCTGCACTGGGTGGGGGGGAACGCTGTTCTGGGTGAGTGGTATGTCAAGTAAGGTTTCCGGGACGCATGCGGACGGTCCCACTGGAGGCTTCGGTGGAGCAACCTATGGGGCCACGAAATGCTGTATTGGGTGAGTGAAAATGCCAAATTGGGCTTCCGGGACGCATGCGGACGGTCCCACTGGAGGCTTCGGTGGAACTCCCTATGGGGCCACGAAGCGCTGTACTGGGTGGGTGAAAATACCAAATAGGACTTCCGGGACGCATGCGGACGGTCCCACTGGGGGCTTCGGTGGAGCTCACTAAGGGGCCACGAAACGCTGTATTGGGGGGGTAAAAATGCCACGTTGGGTTTTCGGGACGCATGCGGACGGTGGCACTGGGGCCTTCGGTGGAGTTCCCTACGGGGCCCCGAAATTTTGAACTGGGTAAGTGAAAATGCCACAACGGGTGTTTCGGGACGCTTGCGGACGGTCCCACTGGGGCCTTCGGTGGAGCTCCCTGTGGGGCCACGAAACGCTGCTCTGGGTGGGTGAAAACGCCACATTGGGTGTGCGGGACGCATGCGGACGGTGGCACTGGGGCCTTCGGTGGAGCTCCCTGTGGGGCCACGAAACGCTGTAATGGGTGGGTGAAATGCCAAATTGGGTGTTTCAGGACGCACTCGGACGGTCCCACTGGGGACTTCGCTGTACTGAGTGGGGGGGACGCATGTGGACGGTAGCACTGGGGGCTTCGGTGGAGCTCCCTATGGGGCCACGAAGCGCTGTACTGAGTGGGGGGGACGCATGTGGACGGTGGCACTGGGGCCTTCGGTGGAACTCCCTATGGGGCCACGAAGCGCTGTACTGGGTGGGTGAAAATACCAAATAGGACTTCCGGGACGCATGCGGACGGTCCCACTGGGGGCTTCGGTGGAGCTCACTAAGGGGCCACGAAACGCTGTATTGGGTGGGTAAAAATGCCACGTTGGGTTTTCGGGACGCATGCGGACGGTGGCACTGGGGCCTTCGGTTGAGTTCCCTACGGGGCCCCGAAATTTTGAACTGGGTAAGTGAAAATGCCACAACGGGTGTTTCGGGACGCTTGCGGACGGTCCCACTGGGGCCTTCGGTGGAGCTCCCTGTGGGGCCACGAAACGCTGCTCTGGGTGGGTGAAAACGCCACATTGGGTGTGCGGGACGCATGCGGACGGTGGCACTGGGGCCTTCGGTGGAGCTCCCTGTGGGGCCACGAAACGCTGTAATGGGTGGGTGAAATGCCAAATTGGGTGTTTCAGGACGCACTCGGACGGTCCCACTGGGGACTTCGCTGTACTGAGTGGGGGGGACGCATGTGGACGGTAGCACTGGGGGCTTCGGTGGGGCTCCTTATGGGGCCACGAATCGCTGTACTGAGTGGGGGAGAAGCATGTGGACGGTGGCACTGGGGCCTTCGGTGGAGCTCCCTATTGGGCCACGAAGCGCTGTACTGAGTGGGGGGAACGCATGTGGACGGTGGCACTGGGGCCTTCGTGGAGCGGGGCCACGAAGCGCTGTACTGAGTGGGGGGGACGCATGTGGACGGTGGCACTGGGGCCGTCGGTGGTGGGGCCACGAAGCGCTGTACTGAGTGGGGGAGCGCATGTGGACGGTGGCACTGGGTCCCTCGGTGGAGCTCCCTGTGGGGCCACGAAGCGCTGTACTGAGTGGGGGGGACGCGTGTGGACGGTGGCACTGGGGCCTTCGGTGGAGCTCCCTATGGGGCCACGAAACGCTGTACTGAGTGGGGGGGACGCATGTGGACGGTGGCACTGGGGCCTTCGGTGGAGCTCCCTATGGGGCCACGAAACGCTGTACTGAGTGGGGGGGACGCATGTGGACGGTGGCACTGGGGCCTTCGGTGGAGCTCCCTATGGGGCCACGAAACGCTGTACTGAGTGGGGGGACGCATGTGGACGGTGGCACTGGGGCCTTCGGTGGAGCTCCCTATGGGGCCACGAAGCGCTGTACTGAGTGGGGGGACGCATGTGGACGGTGGCACTGGGGCCTTCGGTGGAGCTCCCTATGGGGCCACGAAACGCTGTACTGAGTGGGGGACGCATGTGGACGGTGGCACTGGGGCCTTCAGTGGAGCTCCCTATGGGGCCACGAAACGTTGTACTGAGTGGGGGGGGACGCATGTGGACGGTGGCACTGGGGCCTTCGGTGGAGCTCCCTATGGGGCCACGAAGCGCTGCACTGAGTGGGGGGGACACATGTGGACGGAGGCACTGGGGCCTCCGGTGGAGCTCCCTATGGGGCTACGAAACGCTGTGCTGAGTGGGTGGGTGAAGCGCAGGGTAGAGGGGCAGGAGGGAGGAGGGAGGAGGGGGAGGAGGAGGAGGAGGAGGAGGAGGAGGAGGAGGAGGAGGAGGAGGAGGAGGAGGAGGAGGAGGAGGAGGAGGAGGAGGAGGAGGAGGAGGAGGAGGAGGAGGGAGGAGGAGGAGGAGGGAGGAGGAGGAGGAGGAGGAGGAGGAGGAGGAGGAGGAGGAGGAACGCGGGGACCGTCTCTTCAAAACGAGGACCCCACAACACAGGTTGGTTGGGAACAGTATTGAAAAAGTAGTACCCGTACTATTGTTGAATTATTTTGGCGCTATTTTTTATTTTTCGTCGAACATCCCCCTGTAGGGGGACAGGCCCGACTTGAGCAGAGATTCTGCTGCCGCGCCTGGGGATGCGGGAGTTGCTGTCGCCGGCGGCCCCGCTGGCAAGCTGGGGGCGCTTGGTGCCGCAGAGGCGGGCGCCGCCGGTGTGGCCGCGGCATTGGTTGTGCCCGGCTGTCCGCACCGTGGGAGGCGGAGTGATCGCCGCTCGCCTGGGCGGCGAAGCTGGGCGCTTCACTGGGCGCAGCCATGGGGCCGCCGTCTGGTGCCAGGGTTGGCCCTTTGAGCTCTGCTTCACAGTCGCGTTGCGCTCAGCTGCCTGCTTCGCAATCGCGGGGTGCTCCGCGTGCTCGCTCTCTGTTGTGGACTTTCTGAAGAGTCGCCAATCGCGCGCTCTTCCGCCCACGCGTCCCGCAGGATGCACGGCTTAGTGGTGGTGGTGGTGGTGCGCTTCTGGTTCTGCCCCGAACTTCCGCGACTCGCGGCCGGAGTTGGCCTGGTTCGGTGGAGCCTTTGGGGCGGCCGATTCTGTGCGAAGGGGTGGCCACCGTGCTGAGGAGGAGATTGGGAAGGCAGAGAAGGAGGAGGGGGAAGAGAAGGAAGAGGAGGAAGAGGAGGAGAAGGAGGAGGAGGAGCACAGGGAGGTGGAGGAATAGGATGGTGATGATGATGATGATGATGATGATGATGATGATGCTGATGATGATGATGATGCTGATGAAGATGAAGCTGGTGATGCTGCTGATGCTGCTGATGCTGATGCTTTTGCTGCTGCTGATAATGTGATGATGATGATGATGATGATGATGATGATGATGATGATGATGATGATGATGATGATGATGCTGATGATGCTGATGATGTTGATGCTGATGGTGAAGAGGATGACGATGTCGATGACGATGATGCAGCTCATGATGCTGATGATGCTGATGATGATGGCGATGATGGTGATATACTAAGTATGCTGATGAGCATGATGACACTGCTGATGATGATGCTGCTGCGGCTGGTGATAATGCTGGTGCTGATACTTTCGATGATGATGCGAATGCTGATAATGGTAATGATGGTGCTGATGATGATGATGATGATGATGATGATGATGATGATGATGATGATGATGATGATGCTGATGCTGCTGATGATGATGAGGATGATGATGAGGATGATGATGAGGATGATGGTGATGATACTGATTATGCTGCTTATGATGATGATAATGACGCTGCTGATGAGAATGCTGATGACGATGCTGATGCTGATGATGCTGATGATGGTGATGCTGATTATGATGATGCGGATGACGATGATGATGATGCTGCTGCGGCTGATGCTGATGCTGCTGATGATGCTGATGGTGTTGCGGCTGCTGCTGCTGCCGCTACTGATGATGATGCTGCTGCTGATGTTGCTGGTGATGAGGATGCTGATGAGGATGTTGATGAACCTGCGGCTGATGTTGATGCTGATGATTCTGACAATGATGATGAGAATTGTGATGCTGATGATGATGGTGATGATGACGCTGCTGGTGATGATGACGCTGCTGGTGATGATGATGTTGATTATGCTGAGGATGATGATGACGATGAGGATGATGAGGATGATGAGGATGATGATGTGATGATCAGTCGGAGTAGGAATCTGATTCTGAGGAGAAGGAGGAGAGGAAGAGGAGGAGGAGGAAAAGGAGGAGGAGGAGGAGGAAGTGGAGGAGGAGGAGACGGCGGAGGAGGAGACGGCGGAGGAGGAGCAGGAGGAGGAGGAGGAGACGGCGGAGGAGGAGGAGATGATGATGAGGAGGAGGAGGAGAGGAGGAGGAGGAGGAGGAGAGGGGAGGAAGGAGGAGGAGGAGGAAGAAACGGTGGAGGAGGAGGAGGAGGAGGAAGAGGAGGGAGGGAGGGAGGGAGGGAGGGAGGAGGGAGGGAGGGAGGGAGGGAAGGAGGAGGAGGAGGAGGAGGAGGAGGAGGAGGAGAGGAGGAGGAGGAGGAGGAGGAGGAGAGGAGGAGGAGGAGGAGGAGGAGGAGGAGGAGGAGGAGGAGGAGGAGGAGGAGGAAAAGGAGGAGGAGGAGGAGGAGGAGGAGGAGCAGCAGGACTAGGACTATAGGATTATAGGGCATGCGACAACGAACGTCGAGACTGTGGAAAATGAGCGCGCTGCAGTGTCCTCTACCGGTGGGCCGATTTTGCCCCAGAGGGGGGGTCAGGGCCTAAATCAGGCCCCGCTTGAGCGCCAGACCACCAGCTCAGCCCTCGTAGCCGAGCACGCCGACGGGGGGGTTACGGTCCCCCCGCGTCAGAAGTAGAGCGACCACTTGCCGAAATCGCATTAGCAGGGGGAATGGCGGGCCCCCACCGCCTGAGCCAGCCGAGTACAGAACCACGAACTGGTGCACTGCGAAGTGCACGCCTCACTGCACCTGTGGCTTGGCTAGCTCCGCGATCTGCGGCTGCACCTGCGCGACGGTGTTGCCAGGCATCTGGCACGCGCGGCGCCAGCTGCCGCGTACGTCCTCGATCTCCTTGGCCATGCAATCCGAAAGCAGGCCTGGCTCCATCATCTCGTCGATCTCCTGGAAGATGGACGCGGAGCGCTCGGCGGACTTCGCCATCGCGGCCTGGAGCCACCTGATCTTCTGGATCTCCTTCTTCACAGGGTCCGCGACCTGTGCATTCAGCTCCTTGATGGTCTTGATCTTCGCGATCTCTGCCCCCTTCACGGCCTCCGACTCCGCCACGGCGGCGGCCACGGATTCGCCCTTGTTGGACACGGCCTCGATGTCCTCGATATTCTCGTGCGGCTTCTCGCAATCCGCCTCCTCGTGGAAGGTCGCGTCGACGTTCTCAACGTTCGGCGCTTCCACTGATTTCACAAGATGGCAGGGCGTCTCGACGCCCTGCGGCACCACCTCTACGGTCTTCTCCCGGACTCTTCCTGCGGCATCTCCTCAATGTGTTAGTGGCAGTGCTCCTCTGGCTTCCCTACCACTGTCTCCTCCATCTTCCCGAAGGTCATCTCGAGGACGGGGAAGAGGGGAACGCTTGGGAGGCTGTCCTGCACAAGCATACTCTCGTCATCGTGGTCGTCCGACCACTCCTGACGTACCTCGACTGTCTTCCAATGGTACTCTACCCGCAGCGTCTCCACAGGCGCCTCAGCGTCGCGGCCTGCGTCACCTCCTCGGTTTTGTCGGCCTCCGCGAATACCTCGGCCGCCTCCTCGGCCCGCCTGATGAGGGAGGCCCATCTTCTCCTCCTCGTCACTCATGTTCCCTACCGGTCTTGCGGGTCACGAAGACACCGTCCTCAAGCCGCAGGGGCCATGGCGTGGGCCCGCATCAAGCGCGGGGACCTGGGGAGGCCCACAGTCGGGCAGAGGCGCCTGCACCCTTGGGCCCAGGTGGCTTGAGGGAGGAGGAGGAGGAGGAGGAGGAGGAGGAGGAGGAGGAGGAGGAGGAGGAGGAGGAGGAGGAGGAGGAGGAGGAGGAGGAGGAGGAGGAGGAGGAGGAGGAGGAGAGGAGGAGGAGGAGGAGGAGGAGGAGGAGGAGGAGGAGGAGGAGGAGGGGGAGGGGAGGGGGGGAGGAGGAGGAGGAGGAGGAGGAGGAGGAGGAGGAGGAGGAGGAGGAGGAGGAGGAGGAGGAGGAGGAGGAGGAGGAGGAGGAGGAGGAGGAGGAGAAGAAGCAGAAGCAGACAAAGAAGAAGAAAAAGAAGAAGAAGAGGAGGAGGAGGAGGAGGAGTACGGAGGAGGAGGAGAGAGGAAAGAGGAGGAAAGAGGAGAGGAGAGGAGAGGAGAGGAGAGGAGAGGAGAGGAGAGCAGAGCAGAGGAGAGGAGAGGAGAGGAGAGGAGAGGAGGGAGGGAGGGAGGGGTTCGACCAGCAGGAGGACAGGGTGGTAGTGCACGCAGGGGCAGGCGGAGCGGCGGCCGTGCAGCGGGCGCAGACCTTCACTCGGCGACTCCGAGAACTGCGAGGGGCAAGACTTTCCGCCGAGGCCTACCTCACTCTGCTCAGAGCCTTCTCACAGGGATGCGTCACGCACCACTTGTGAGCCAATTTGCAGAGCATCTGGGTGGAGCAGCTCGACGCGGTGGTGTTCTCGGTCCTCGAGCACCTGCTTCGCGGGAGCCGACTGGACGAGCTCCGGAGGCTGCAAACCACCCTGCGCCTCGCCGACGGAGGGTGCGCCATCCCGTCCGCCGCCCAGACAGCGCCAGCATCCTATGTACGCCGCGAGCTGTGCGATCTGCCTCCACGACGTGGCCAAGCGCTTGCACGTGAGCACGCTGGAGGGCTTCCGGGCGCGGTGCCCGCGAACAGTGCGAGCCCTCGCCCATGCCGAGCAGGCGCTGCAAGCCTTGGGGGCGACAGACGGACAGCCCATCGACCAGGCCCGTAGTCTTCAGGAGCCCCGCGCGAAGCTCCAGGGCGTGTGGAGCAGGGCGGTCTCCAGGAAACGGAAAGAACGGCTGCCGCGGGAGCTTCCACACACAAAGAAAACCGCCTGGCGCTCCGGGCGTGTGGCGGCGTGGGCGCCAGGGGCGTTTTC